CCTCTGTTGTCTGATAGATATGAAAATAAGAAACATATTTATATGACTTTTATCCCGGTCAAAAGGGGATAAGTTACATATCTTATCAAAAAAGATACATGTCTCTCTTTAAAATATAATTATTCCATAACATGCATATATCGGATTATATGGGCCTGTTTTAGGTACCCATCCCCTATTGACCGGGACCAGCCTCTGTTGTCTAATTGATGTGCATATAGCAAACGATTTGAAATGAATTATAATAGGGAATTAATAGGGAATAACTTACATGTCTTTTAATTTAAATCAACATTGTTTATTCTGTCTTTAAATACTTTGTTAAATTGTACACTTGGTTTTTCACTAATATATTTATATTTTTTTAAACTGAAGCACCCTCTAAACCAAAACGTTTTTTTTAGGTTTTAGGTTTTAAAAAATATCCGGGGGGGGGGGGGCTCTGCCTCCTGAACACCTCTGTACCCCACCCGTAAACTGCACCCTGATTGTACGTAACTATACTTACCACGTCGCTCAATATGCGCGCCAAAATAAACATGAAAAAACATATTATGCAGTAGATTCAATATTTTAACCTGATAAATAGCTTCAGAGTTCTGATAATTCATTGTCATGTACGCAAAAGATTAACCAATTCACAGTCATACTTATTAAACTGCAAATTGAGAGTGCTAAAACAATGGGTTGACCCTATCCATTAAAAAAAAAAAACATTGAAAACATTGTTCATTGAGAACATAATTATAGAATACACAGTATACATTGAACTTTAAACACACTATTAAAAAGAGAAGCAAAGAGAAGAGTAAGAAATGAAAGATATAGATAATGAACATGACATGGGAAATTGCAAAAGAACCCAGTAAAGGTTCTGTCGAGGCAATCCCCAGCCTAATAAAATACCTACATTTTTACTGATAAAGAACTAAAAATTCATAGTGACATTATGGCAAAGAAGAGTTTAAAAGGTATAACAGTTATAACAGATGGGATGGATTAATTATTTTGTAGAGTTTGTGAATAAAAAAAGTTAAGTTTTGATCTAAAAGAATTAAGAAACGAAATTGTTTGAACATAATGAGGAAGAGAGTTCCATTTTGACGGTCCTTTTGATTTGAAAGAAAAAGATGATATTTTTATATTTTTCGACATAGTAATTTTCTGGATTTCTGGTATTATAAGTATGCATTTCTGTTTTACATTTAATAATAGAGGCAAGATTATATGGTAATTTGTTATGTTTATGTTTAAAGACCATTAATGAGATACAGTAGTCATACAATTGATATATTGTGAGAAGATTAAGTTTTTTGAATAGTGGTTGTAAAGGAGCAGTATAGTGAGACATTGAACATATTCTTACAATTATTTTTTTGCAATTTCAATAATCTAGGAGCCTGCTGGGATATGTATTGGCCCATACAACTATATTTTGTTTAGATATAGTAGATATATGTTCGACCCATGATAAATGTTCATCGATAACAACTCCTAAGAAATTTGTAGATTGGACACGTTTCATAAATACATTATTCATACTAATATTAAGATTGGTAAATAAATTTTCTGTAATTGTATTTTTGCTTATGATGAAAGTATACAAAGCTAGATTTGGAAGTGTTAAGAGATAACTTATAACAATTAAACCACTGTGAAACATGGCATAACTCCGCATTAAGAAATTGACATAAATCATAAATTTTTTAAAGGATATTTGTGTAATCAGCAAAAAGAATGAATTTTACACTAGGAAAGGATCTGATATGTCGGAAATCAATGTACCACAGGGGAAAAACATAATTGTCAGCGAAATATAAAAGCCACCAAACTCAAATTATGCTGATTGTATTGATGCATTACAATCTATGTTAACATCACCGCCCTTTAATGATAAACATTATATGATGATGGCGATTTTAATCTTAACCTATTTATTTATAATGACAAACTATATGTCGAGATTTCTTGGATATCATGACTTCAAAACCACTTTCCCAAGTACATGTATAACTAAACCAACACAAATTTCTGATAATGCATCGACACTTAAATATTGATAACGTGTTCTCTAATATTTCCAATTGTATGGATCGAGGCATTATAGTTTCCGACATATCATATCCTTTCCTAGTGTTTACATGGGGGGGGGGGGGCACTCGTTTTTCCTAAAGTTCATTTTTCCGAAGGTTCGTTTTTCCGAAGGTTCATATTTCCGAATCATAAATGTCCCATGCCTGGGGGTTCATAATTCCCGAAATGAAAAAGGGTTCGTAATTCCGAACATTTTGTTGCATTATTTCGAAGGTTCGACCTGACTGCTAAGAAAGCATTAATGCTTGTAAGTAAGCAACCAGACGGCCGACGGCTTTAGGTCCTCTCCGAGGGACATGGTAATGAGGATTAATGCCTTACCAAAGGGCACTAGCGCATCACCTTGGTTTCGAATCCGGATTACGAGACCACTGTCCTACTGAATGAGCTATCGCGCCTCCTTCTATATTTCGAAGGTTCTTTATTCCGAAGGTTCTTTATTCCGAAGGTTCATTTATCCGAAGGTTCATATTTCCGAAAATGAAAAAGGGTTCATAATTCCGAAAATTAAATCGGGTTCATAATTCCGAAAGTGAAAAAGGGTTCGTAATTCCGAAAATGAAATAGGGTTCGTATTTCCGAAAATGGAAAATGGTTCATAATTCCGAAAATGAAATAAGGTTCGTAATTCTGAAAATGAATAGGATTCGTAATTCCGAAAATGGAAAAGGGTACCTGAACAAGAAGCCGAGACAGCCCCTCTCCCCATAAGAGATCCACAAGGACTGGAGAGAGAGAGAGGAAGAGAGAGAGAGAGCTAGAGAGACAGATCAGAGGAAGACAGAGACAAAGACAGGGAGAAACATTAGAAGAAAACAAAAGACAATAGGACAATATAAAGGACAAATGAAAAAGAAAAGGAAAGAAAGGAAGGAAGGAAGAGAGGTAAATTAGAAAGAGGGGATAAGATTGAAAACGGTGATAGAGAGTGAAAGATAGAAGAGGGGGGTATCATGATTGATTTATAAGGTGATAAGTTGAGGTCATCTTACCGATCTCGTTTTATTTTCTGATTTATTTATTCATTTGTTCATTTGTTTGCTTGTTGCTTTTTATTTGGTATTTGTCATTGGCTCCCCCTCCGCCCTTTTTTCTTTCCCTTTCTCTCCTCTTTCCCTTTCCCTTCCTTCAATTTCTTTCTCTCTCTCTCTCCTCTCTCGCTCCCTCTATATATAAAACAATGCCTAATTGGTGACCATTGGTCCCTCATGATCCTCTCTTTCTTATGTTAATTGAGAGCTGAGTTGATGAGATAGCCACCTGTCCAGGTCCTTGCAGGGTAATCAATCCCTCTTATAAACTAGTACAGATAAGCTTTAAAGGAAAATGTGCATTTGTTGAAAGAAAATGGGCACCGATCAGATTTTAAAGGGGCATTTATCGGAGGTGAAGGGGGCACTTATCTGAAGTGAAAAGGAGTAACTTCTCTTACCTGAAAAGAGTCATTTACCAGAGATGAAAAGGGGCATTTATGAGAAGGGGAAGGGCTCCTTTTTAATGGGGGCACTTTTCATTGGGAAACTGGTCGCTTATTAGAAAGTAATATGGAATCAGAAGTATTGATGGGTACAACTATAAGGTGACACCAATGTGAACATCAGAGACATAGTAATGCATTTGGATTACTTTTCACTGGTTTCTCACAAATAATACATTGATACTTTATCGGCATCGTTATTCTATAGCATAAGTCTCTTACGTGATCGCATTTTCAATTCTTCCTATCCAAGGCGTTCGATGTCGCTCATGCCTCCGATCAGGATTATTCACTTTTCCTCACCATTTTCAGTCTGTGCAAATATTCGCCCGTCACGAGACCATGTCCACGAGATCGCTTCACACTTACAAGCTAGTATATCAATGATTGGCGACCCATCTTAGGTCTTCGTTGATGAAGATTTTACTCCCTTTTGACGCTATCGAAAGCATTTTTTATTGAAATCAATGTACCACAGGGGAAAAACATAACTGTCGGCGAAATCTAAAAGCCCACAAACTCAAATCATACTGAGTTTATTGATACATTACAATCCATATTAACATAACCGTCCTTCAATGAAAAACATACATGATAATGGGCGATTATGATTTCAACCTATTCAATCATATGGAAAAACCATACAGTCGAGATTTCTTGGATATCTTGACTTCAAAATCACTTTTCCCAAGTATAACAAAAGTATAACAAAACCAACTTAAACTTCTGATAATGCATCAACACTTGTTGATAATGTGTTCTCCAATATTTCCTATAGGAACGAGGCATTATAGTTTCTTACATATCAGATCACTTCCCAGTGTTTACAAAGTCATGTACCCCATATTTCTAACATAGTCAAGCCTGATATTCAGAATAACATATTGGGTTCACGTGATATGTCAGAAGATAATTTAGCTATAGACTCAAAGCAAGTCTGATAATCACTGACCGGTCTGTAATTCTTGACAATAATGATGCTAATGATGGTTGTAACAAGCTAGTTTATATAATTATGACTTTATGTGATATCTATATTCCATTGAAATCACCTTCCAAGTCGAGTTATAAAAAAGTACCTGAATCCTCCTGAATCACTAAGTCTATACTTAGATCGATTAACCGGAAAAATAGTATTTTACAAATATAAATAAACAAAAACACATGAATCTAAACTAAAAAATACTTCCAATTGTAATACCTTGACATCTGTAATACATAGGGCAAAACAGAATTATTACTCTACCCAATTCACCACACATAAAAAGACATAAATTCAACCTGGAACATTATCAATAATGTTCTCAGAAAAGGTGAAAAGAAACAATTCGAATTAAGTAAGATCGTCTACAACGGAACCGAAATAAAAGACCCTCTCGGCAAAGCAGAGGCATTCAACTTTTCGGTGTGAATTAGGGCCAGGCCTTGCCAGTAACATCCCTGCTACAAATAACTGTTTCCACTCGTTCCTAAGAAATTCAAATCCTCAATCATTATTTGTTGTACCTGTACATGAAACAGAGATTATTGATATCGTGAATAACTTAAATGTAAACAAAGGTTCTGGTTATGTTATTTCAAATTATCTCCTCAAAACTAATATCCATGAAATAGTCTCTCCGTTGACATTTGTATTTGATATGTCTTTAGTAGATGGCATAGTACGAAGCAAAATGAACATTGCTAAGGTAATACCAGTCTTGGACATGTCACTCGGGGGACTTGAAACTCTCTCACTGATGAGGGGTTGCCACCCCCACCCCATCGACGCCTCTGGCCCTAAGTAAGTCCAGTCAGACAATCAGAGCACGATACGCCTTCGGCGCTAAAGTGGGATAAGAGGGAGGTAAAGGAAAGTAGGATATCAAAATAATCATTGAAAATAATTAGGATGATGATGGGAATGTAATGAACGAACATGACAATGCAGGCGAGGAAGATAAAAGGCTACACGGTACCGTGTTTGGGCTACCATTTGGCAAAGCGAATAAAATCCGAGCGATTCTGTCAACAAACACCTTCTATAATATTGAATAGTCAAATAGCTGAAGCTGGTCACGAAAACAACCAAGATGCCCATTGAAGTAAGGTTCCTGTGTTAATTAGGAAAAAGGAGTTTTGTTTTGATATCAAGCTCTAGTATAAACGAACCATTCTTTCTTTTATCACGAACTATGTTTCAAATATGCCCCATCCTCCCAGAACAATGCAATTCATCAGTGTTTTCTTTAGTCTTAAATTATTGTCCCGTAATATTGTGCATAAACAGATTAAGTGTGAGTGATATTTCAATCCCAGTACAAGGCTTTAACGATGGATTTACCTGACCTGTATACCAATAAAGTCCTTTATCAGGTAAGTATAGCCACACATCTATTTTTTTAGAGCACTGGGCTTATACAAACTGCTGTCGAAAGATTAGTTTTATTTTTTTTTGGCTCACGCTTTTGACTTCCGGACTATCATGCAAGTATCAACGATTTTAAGATCATAAATTGTTTTTGCTCTGTTAAATGATAATCATTTCATGTCACGGTTACATTGCAGTCGGAATTATTACCTATCTCCAAGTGACGTAGAATGGTCGTTTTTGTAATTTTTTAGAAACATAATTTTCTTAAATCTAAAATGATTGTTATCTAGATGATAATTGATAACAATATTTTACAATGTACGGTGCCGAATCAAACCTGCTGCTACATCGCAACTTACCGCTTGACTTAGATTCGCAAGGAGAGGCCCGGAGGTAGGATACAAAGAACGAATACGATGAAATTTGTCACGGAACAGTACGTATAGGATGCATTCGTAAAGAATATCTTATTAAATTCGGGAACATGTCCCATCAAAAACATATCATACCTCACTCCATTCATCGCGTTCATTATTGCCGTCATGATGTAACATCGTCCAGCAGGTACACAAGATACCCTATTGTTTCCCCTCTTGCTGGCAATGGAGATGCTGTCTCCATTACGTCACCAGTCAGCCCATCATAGCAATACCAACGACCTGCCTCTTTGAAGATGCATGTGAAGTGGTCTGCTTTGTGAATCGTCATACCCTGTAACGTGTACCTGTAATTTATGTTTATAATTTCAGAAAAGGAATGAAGTAACAGAGAAAATAAATGGTCAATACATCCTTAACGCAGAGGTCTAATACAGCGCGGTTTACATTATGAGTCTTGAAATCTGCTTTAAATTTACATGTAATGTGATAGACGGTAGAAAAAGCATGTAATCACATGTTCATTGAATATCACAACAATAGTTCATACTGTACTCTAAAATAAACATGTAATCAATATTCCTTCTTCATGGACATTTAGCTGAATACATTAACAATTGCTAACAAATGCTAAGTAGGCTATTATACCAAGCTGAAAATCATAACTTCCTCCAACCTATTTGTGGGTATGATTTTGAGCTTGCTATAATCAGCCAATATTGCTGCTAAAATAACTTATGTTTTGAGGGACAACAATCATGTTTTAGTCTCGAAATGGCTAGTGGCATAATTTTTATGTGCTGTTGTAAAATACAAAATATAGCAAATGACTTCTATAATCCATTGTTTTAACGACAATACCTTGCGGTTCCTAATGAAACGTTGTGCTGAAACATAAGGGTAACTCGGGCTGCACCCTTCGTTCTGGATTGATAGATGATAGGACTAAAGCACAGGATTGGTGGACATATGAAGTGGTCGAATTGTCGCTCTTCCCACTTTCTCTCACCCGAACAGCGCCTGTAAATTGATATCATCATTAATATTTGATATTAAGACATGATCATACATTTTCGTTCTCACAAAATAAAACAAAATATTCCAATGTCCTTGTCATTCAAATGGAATACAGTTTCAACATACAATATATTAGACTGGTGGAAATTATTGAATGATCGTTCTTAAAATATTACAACTAACTCAAATCACTATTTTACCTTCAAAGGTATTTTCACACAGGAAATTTTGCTAATCGTTTTGAAATTTCCGTTAGTGTACATGCAGAGCAGAATGTGTAGGCTGTAATTTTTAGATAATATCAAATATGTGCTTAAAAATTGACATAGGCCTACTTGCAGCCTGTATACCAAATACGCCAGTTTGTAGGAACAAAAGTTGCAACGTACAGTGTTATATATAAGAGGTATGACCAAACTATTTAATAGCGAACACCTTTGTCAAATAGTTTTTTTTTAATTTTTTCAATTTTTGTAATGTGCAAAAGTCCTGATGAGTTTATACTAGTACTCGACGTAAATTCAATCAATGATTAACGTACTCTCCTGTGGCAAGTGGTATGTGGCATTGGTGACACGGCGGTGGGGCAATCCAGCAGTTTAGCGCATCTTGCACCGTGCCTCTCTTACCGTCATTTGTAGACCTGTACATGTTTTTAAAATATAGTTTTAGTTCTATAATACTTTAGATAAATTGTCAAATTATATTCCAGTATTTATTTTTCCTTTTTGCGTGGTGAAATAATCTACAAATGCAATCAATATGTTAATCGATCCCCCGGAAATGATTTCTTTAACATGAAGGCAGTGTTAAAAAAAAAATCTTCTATTGTTATCATTATTATTTGTTGTTGTTGAGGGGGGTGAAATAATGACGATTTACATTGTAAGTATTCATCACAAAATTCCTAGAATCATTATATAATGTTTTCATACAGTGTTTGTTCTTTCTCTAATGGAGAAATTTTGTGATATCTTTATTATAATGATATTGATAATAGGAGAGTGGTGAGAACCGCTTGTGGTCATTATTTGGCGTGATCAAAATCCCTACCTGTTCATATATCAATTGTGTTACATACCAATCTTGAACTATTGGCTATAACGTTCTATTTATTCCAACTTCAATTTATTTATGCCAGGTACGTTGGTCTTACCCGAGTTCTATGGATATGCTTCTCCTTGTCACGACGGCTTGTCTGCATGTTGGGCTGGAGCACCTCGATGTCTGCGTGTTCGCCTGGAAAACGTCCAGATGTCGTACAAACATGTAGAATTCAGACCCATATGCGTCCCATGTCTGCGGTGTGTACATCTCGAGTTCAAACTGGCAAATTGTATGTAGCCACTCTAGTTTAGCCAGGGTCCACTCTTTCGCGACGCATAGGTCAGCAATATGCAAGATTCTTCTGCTCTTGATGTCAGAACTCTGCATTAGTGTTTCTCGTAGCACGCTTTGCTGCTGGTTAACTTTGGCGAGTATGACCATGATGTTGTCTATTGTACACGTGTTTGCTAGTGTGACATCTTTTCCTTTGTACTGGATTCTCCCTCCCCACCTTGGATAATCTCCGCTCCGCCGCTCTCTTTCTGCTTTACGGCATTTCTTCTCTTTTGCTTTTTTCGCTTTACCTTCCTTTCTGTTAACCTTATTGTCGTCGTGACGCTTCCTTTTGTTCCATTCTTCTTCAGGGTTCGGAATATCTTCTTTTCGTGAAGTTCTAGCACGTTTCGAGGACTTCCTGTTTTTGACGATGGGGATGTCTGCGTTTTCTTTGTGAGGGGGACACTTTTTCTTTTTCTTTGGCTGCAGAATGTCTTCATCACGAGGTGAACGGAAGTACTTTCCCTGCCTTCTAGGAGTGGAAGTATTTCTGCCTTCCGCTTCCACATCGACCTTTCCTTTGCTAGGTCGCAACTGTGTCTCCGCAACTCGACCCCGTACGTTGCAGTACGCAAATCTTATGAACTTTCCAGGAGTCAGCCTGGTCCTTCCCCCGGGAACGGCGTCCTTTTTCACAACACCAAACCAGTTCTCCACAAGAGAGTTTGTATCTCTATTGGGAACGGGTGGGTCGAACAGGATCAACTTTTTTGCTGGAACATATCGGGTCAAGTCGCCGAAAGTGACAGCACTCCACAATGGATACACGTGCATAAACCCATCCAGCAGCATTGCAGTTAACCCAGGTGTGAAGTATTCGTTCCCAACAGCTTCTGATGACTCATGTCGTACTGCATGCTCCTTCTCCTCCTTGAAGGCTCTCCACCAAGGTGAACTCTCGCGTATCGCCTTAAAGCGATTAACGACCGTCTTATCTTTGCATGAAGTTGCCTCTGTACTGGTGCCCTGAAGATCATCGATATCACTAGCGCCCTTGCGTGATATTTTCCTCTTCAGGATAGCCAATGATTCGGCCACTGCCGATGTCGCGAACTTGCTGTCCAGAACTTGACAGAAGTGACGGAATGTCTCCCTTGCCTTGCTGACATCGTGCTCTGTCTGAAGTAGCGCAAACACATGTAGGCAGAACTGCTTTACACCGTGGTCTTTGGTGTGCTCCTTCAGTCGCCTGCTCACATCTTTCAACATGTGGGCCGCACATATATGGGGGTATGTGAAACTTGTTACCTTTCCTTCTGACAGTTCGCCTTGCACAAGCTTCCAGGTTCGGATGAGGTACGTCTTCGTTTCTTCGCTATTGAAGGCATGGAGAACAGATTGAATCAAGGCCCATGAAAAATCAACCTCGACCCTTCTTGGCAAACCAGCCTTCAATTTCTTTCCTTTGGATATTGTATTGACGAACCTGGATAGAAAATGCTTTATTTCAGACGCATGCTGATCGTTGGTAAGCATTTCCGCGACGGGGATGCCAGACCTTCCAGGTATAGGATTTTTCATAACTAGTGCATAGTACAGCACTGCTTTCTTTTGTCCAGGGATCTTTTTTATGATGGACCCTGTAGCATCCAGGTAGAGGACTGGTTGCTGCTTCTTGGCATGTCGGATGTACAAGTCTAGCTGGTCATCGAGATGGAGGTGTACCTTGAATGGGTAGATGCTAAAGTACTGAACGAATCCGCCATCGGTGTATTGACCATTTGGGTGAATATCCTTGTACACCTCCTGCAAGAGTTTTACCTCCTGCAAGATGTCATCGTGGATTTTGTCCTTGTTCCTTCTATCTGCCAATATTCGCCGAAGTACTTCATGGGTAGCGCATGCACTTAAATTACCTGCCTCCTTTTCCTCCTTTGTCATTGATGCTACTGTCCGGTAGTACCACTTCGTGACCCCATCTTTCTCAAGCTCTGTTGCAACTTCCCCTCTTCTCTTTCCTTTGATGTGCCTCTTTTCTCCCGTTTCTTCACCGTGGTCTACGTTGCCCAATCTGTTCACGTCGACCCTTATCTTTTTCTGGCTTGTCGTCGGCTTCTTTCCTATAATGAACTTGTATTTGCAACATGTTTTGAATTTACAAAGACATATTGCCTTCGCATATGGCATATTATGCTTCCGGCTTCTTGGCAGCTTTACATGATTGTATTTGAAGACCGGGACACAACCTCTGTTAACATCTTGAAACTTCCTCGAATACAGTTCCGCCCACTGTCCCTGAAGATTGGACTTTTTCCCCGTGGGCTTGATGCTCTTCCACTCTTCTTGATTTAGACTGAAATGCCATTCATTGTCAGTACTATCGTCATTTTCGTTGTCAGATGTTTGTTTTCGGGGATACGGAAGAGTTGCATCCACACTGGATGCTCCGGGTGAATACTGCAAAGAATCCTCTTCTTGAGTGTCATACAGCTTTTCGCTGTTGGTCATCGAACAGGGTGGTGATGGGATAGGTGAAGGAGGGTGAACGATTTCATGTGCGTCCCTATCGTGTGGTGAATTAGCTCTGAAACATGCATCATTTCTGTCGGATCGTTGACCTTTATTTCCACTTTGTTTGGTATTAGTTGATTGGGTATTTAAGGTTACAGGGCACTCCGTGGTGCGGTCTTGGTTTTCTATACGATGCTCTTCCTGGATGTTTGTAACCTTGTCCCGCAGATTATTGGTGTTGAACCGCCATTGGTTGTAGAGCCACTTTCTGTTTATGAGGGTGTTCTTTATCTTCATTGCTTTTGCAATATGCGACCATATTCCAGTCACTATTCTATACCCTTCTTCGTGAAGACGATGGAAGTTTGGCCACGAAGCTAGAACGTTAGCTAGAAGATCATGGTTGATGCGACCAGGAACTTTCATCTTGAGCTTGGGATAGAACCTTTAAATAGACAAACAAAAGTATATCGAAAATACCGAAAATTGTGGCAATTGTCATTTAAATAATTTGTTATGTTTCATCAATAGATCATTGGGTGTATTAATATGTTTTTAAAGAATATCAGTTCGAAGTAACAAAAAAATACATGATAATAATGTAAATGGTAATGTCATTTAATTGCTCCATTAACTTTATCAGGATCAGCCGAAAGCAATTGAAGCTTTCACATACCCTTTTTATTTTATTTTGGCTTAAGGTAACAGAAGTATAAAACTTTTCATGAATTTGTTCTAATTTCTCCCAAATGATGGAGATATTTGTGATTGTATTGAATGACGCTTCTCAACGCTTTTCGATTAATTAAAACTTAAAGGGCACAAGGAGATATAATTTACAATCAATTTCACTTTCGAAATTAGATAATTCGTGTTTTTTATTATGAAACTTCTTATACATTTAATCTTATAGTGAAAATTGGTATAACAGTTGAAGTTTCAAATGTCACATTGGATAAACCGTATCAATTAAGTGATCACTGTAATAATAATAATAATGATAAATGGAAAACATGACAACGAAAATTGACAACATTTACATTTAAATCATCGTTATGAACTTATGATAACATTACTTCTTTGGAAAAAGGTTGTTGCGATCAAGAAATGGCTGGATTTAACAATTAAGGTAGACATGGTTTAAAAAAAAAAGAATAAAAGATTATTTCCCAATAATTTGGAGGATTCCTCTCCATTACAAGAATCCGCTACGATATTGTTAAGTGACATTTGTTTCTAACCTATCAGTTCAGAATGTTCATATACTATACAGTGCGTCCCAGAAAAAAAACGAAACCGAGAATTATCGATGTTTTATCATAACTTAATCACAATTATAATTAATAAATGACACAAAGTTGTAAAGCTTAGATCCTCCTTTTTCATTTGATGTAACCCATATGCTGCATATTTCACGCATGAGTGATTAAAAACAATCATTTGAAGAGAGGAAACCAAAAAGTCATTTGGCGGGCGGTATCTGAATTTCAAAGAGAAAATCACGTTTCTATAAAGTTCATTTTCTGTCCTTTCATATGACACCTCAATCAGGAAAAATGAGCCAGGAATAACAAATTTCTTTTTGTTTAAAGTAATGATTGCATTTCCATAATATGATTAAACGAGTTCAATTACTGGCTGCCTGCCGTAGCAACAAACAGAGTTGACAAAAGACTTAACTCCGTTTCGCTGACGATCAGCCATGCATCAAGTCTTAAGTCTTCTTAGTGCCGCCCGCCAAATGACTTTTTGGTTTCCTCTCTTCCAATTATTTTTAATCCCTCATGCTTGAAATATGCATCATATGAGTAGCACCAAATGGAAGAAGAGGTTCTAAGCTTTACAAATATGTGCCATTTATTAATTATTATTGTGATTAAGTTATGATAAAACATCGATAATTCTCGGTTTCGTTTTTTCTGGGACGCACTGTATATACGATTGAGTAGACCTAAGATTGAATAATTTTCATTAAAGGGGTAGTACAGTTTGGGTAAAACTGAATTTTAGTAGCCAAAACCTGCACCATAACCTATACAAACTAATATTTATAACTCCACCATGCTTGAAAGGTATAACACATTATTAACGACTAAGTCAAAAGCCTGTAATCATTCAAAACGAGATGTTGAAACGCAAGAGGGCGCTTTGTAAAGACGCATTGGTTTCAACCATTTTTTATTTTAAAAAATGTGCATGAGATGTTCTGTTAAAATAAAGATTAAATAGGATGATTATCGACAGCTATTTAAATGCCACTTTTGAAAAATTGTTAAAAGTGTAAGCATTTTCTAATCATTTTTCAACGGCTGGTTAAAAATTATGTAATTATATTGGGCCCCATTATAATTAAAAATGGTTGTATTTCAGCCGTTTCTGAACCGGTTGTGATCAAACAAAGTTGATTATGTCATTGAAATTATCGTCAATTATTTCATAAATTACTTATTCCCATGGGCCCTAACATACCTACTAAGTTAACCTTTGTTAGAAACTACAATAATATCATATTGCGTACTTAGTGCTATATTAGACTTATAAAGGAACGAACTCAGTTGTTTTTTGATGGACCACGGTTCAGAGGACGCTCTTTAATATTTATTTATAAAAGAAGTAGAGGACAATTAAGTTCAAACTAGCGAAAAAGCACGAGTTGTCTTTCAAATTGCATATGACAATATATCTATTTAATGTACCACCACCCATAAATAATGTTTTTTTTATAAATGAGAGGTAACATTTTTTGTAGTCCATTCCACCAACAAGCTCAGAAAAATATGTTTCTCAAAAAATGATATGAGTGGAAAACGCATCACCATACTAAAGCATGTATGTCAGGGACGGATCCAGCCGGCGGCAGGGGAAGGGGCCAAGAGGGGGGCCCAATTCGTGAGAAAACATTTAACGGCAAAACAGCAAGCCGGTAAATAAACGGGGGGGGGGGGGGGAGCACTAATTTTGTTTTGCCCCCGAAAATTTGAAAATCGCGCCGGCCGATAATTCGTTCGATAATTCGTATCCCTATCTTTTACAGGACTCCACGCCAATGTATGCTCTACTCAATCGTTAATACTCCACTTTGAAAAAACCTTACGCGGGGCTGCAAGTAAAGAGTAGTCGTGATGCAGATCCTGCCCCCCCCCACACACGTTTTTGCTCATTATGCCACTGTCCCTGAAAGGTGAGCCCCCAGGGGGTGTTTCATAAAGATGTTCGTAAAGTTACAAATGACTTTACAAACGACTTGAATATGAAGTGCCAGATAGGATGCCCAAAAATTTTCCTGATGTTTTCACAAAGTGTGACTATATTTCCAATAACCTCAATTAAATTATGGCAAAAAATATACTTTGTATTAAAAACATTTGTTATAATAAGAAGAAT